GAATTGCAGGTGTTTACTTATTTTTTCATATATTTGTTCTCTTTTCATCTTGCCTGTTTCACCGCCTTGCCTACAGAGCAGTCAACTCCTAAAAAAGGGCGGAGAACCTAAATGCGTGCCACATTCTTGTGAAAGAGTATGTAGACCTGGGTCGCTGATTCGTATCAGAGAGCGATTGTTCGCCTGCAGGTGTCCAGAACGTACTGATGAGTACGTTTCGCCCTTACGCAAACACGTTTAGATTTTTTGTATATATAAGGTCTAGTATATATGGGTAGATAAAATTATACCCACACTAAAACTTGCACAGATACAGGCACACACACGGATGTGCACACATGCAACTGTGTCCCCGTTGTTTGTTGTACCAAACCCCATTTTGGCAACCGGAATCAAATTTATCATTATTGATACTAAGTGCATGGACATAAATACACATAATAAAACTACAATTACAGAAACCCCTAACTTTTTCCTGAATTCAGCATTCATGTCGAGTTGTTATTTCCCCTTTAATCAAGCCATGTATATTGCGTCTAAACTGATTATCAGGGCAATCACTTTTATAATTTAGCTTGGTTTGGTTTGGTTCGGTTTAGTTTGGTTTGGTTTGGTTTTGGTTTTGGTTTTGGTCTGGTTTGGTTTGGCTTGGTTTGGTTTTGGTTTGGTTTGGTTTGGTTTGGTTTGGTTTTACGGCGTATCAACCTCAATTGTTATTTAATAGCGACAAAATTTTTATGGCTGGTAACATTTTGTTTTGTCAAAAATCTATTTCTGGTAATATTTTTTCCTTCAAATATGTATTGCAGCCATTAATTTTTTTTCAAAAATTATTGCTAGTAATATTTTTTTTTCCTCAAATATGTATAGCTGGTAATATTTTTTTCAAAAAATTTATTGCTGGTAATATTTTTTCCAAAACTTTATTGCTGGTAATATTTTTTTTTCAAAAACGTATTGCGGGGTTTGTATTGAGTTACAACCTGCTTTATTTTTGTCTGCCAGCTGGACGCTAGCTGGGACCCTTACGCCGGTAAGTGCTGTTTATTCTATTGTTATTCTACATCTCCTTCCCCGCCCCCATCGCGTGTGGGTAGTGGCCTTTGGCGAGGGATGAGTTCCTTTAAACCTGGCTGGTTGTGTGGAATTAATCTGGACAATGCCCGGGAGGGGGTCCGTGTTATTATAGACGGTTGAGCGGTGTTTGATGTTATTCCAGTGTCAAATCCACCTTGAGAAAGAGATCTGTTTATGGTGCATGGAGCATCTCATTGTGCTCAAGTGGGATAGTCCATTGCTTGGGCTGTGATTGGCTGCTGGCACATGAGTAGAGGTATTTCTGTATAAATACCAGCTTGATTCCAGTCAGTTTGCGGGGTTTGTATTGAGTTACAACCTGCTTTAGTTTTGTCTGCCAGCTGGACGCTAGCTGGGAGTCTTATTGTTATTTCACAGTAATATAGATTTTTTTCCAAAAATTTATTACTGGTAATATTTTTTTTCCAAAAATGTATTCCTGGTAATAATTTTTTACAATGTATTTCTGGTATTAAAACCTATTTTACACTTTCATAGTGTTTTTACCCCAGTTTCGGAGTTAATTATTTGCCCATAGCTGAGACTCTAACTGGTGCTACCACCCCGTGTCAGGGTGAACCTGGGAACACCAGCAATTAAGAGGTGATTCGACAGTCCTTAAAACCTCCTGATCAGATGCCTTGCTGCGGGAAGTAGTTTATCGTCATACCTAGGACGGAATTTAGCTTGGAAAGGAAGGACAATTACTTTTACAAAGTAGGTTAGAAAGATTGTCCAGTCGGATGTGAAGTTGTCAATGAAACAAATGCTTCTTTGAATTTAATAGATATATTTAATTAAAATAATATTTTCTATTATAACAGATAAGATTACCCCATTTATTTGGCGAATTTTTTTTTCCTTAGGTTTCGTTGGAAAGCAACGCCTTACATTACTTTTTAACCTCTTCGCAATAAACGGCTTTCCCTCTAAAAAAAATGTTTCAGTGGTCTGAAAAGATGTTTGTTGAAAACAAAAATCACGGATCTAACGAGTATGAAGCAAAAACTTACATATTTCATGCCATAATCATTTCCTGATTGGTCTTGTATAATCGTTTAAAACCAAAACATCTTTACTATTAACCGATGATGGGGTCTTTTTCTGTTTTTTTTTTTTTTTGTGAAATGCTTCCAATTCAGGGTGGTACTTCTTTGCATGAAGTGTTTCGTGTTGATTTAGATATTCGAAATTCTTCCTATACCACCAGTCAGAGCGCATTATCTTTTTTGTGGGATGTAATCCTGGTTTGAGGATAGATTTTCTTTTTTCATTTGGTACTAACCATTGTCTTTTCATCAGATATGATTACAGACAACCCAATTGTAATCAATGGCAATGATAACATACTGCAAAATTTCGGTAACATATCTAATCTTCCATGATGAGCAGAAAAAAAATCTTAAGCGTTTCACCCCAAGCAAGATGGGAAGCCACTAGCACGCTAGGGGTTACAAGGGGTTACAGAGAGTTGGAGCAAGAGGGAATAGGAGTGATAGAAGAAAGAATGAAGAGAAGGATAGGGGATATATCAAGGAATCTGGAGACGTCGATGGACATTACATTTGAATAGTTGAAGATTATAGTTATCAGAAAAACAGGAAAAGGCGAGGGATTTCCACAGACGAGAAGTGCGAGACATGAAGCTATTGGAGTAGAAGAGACGGCTACATTTAACAGTTTCGACAGTGAAAGGGTGAGAGCGAGATGCCAGCCTAGTTGAACGCTTAAATTCATGAAGTCTGGGAACCAACGAAAGCAGCTCATCGAAGCATTTACCATGAAAGTATTTGTAAAAAAGACAGAGGGAGGCGACGACACGTCTGCGAGAGAACGACTACGGATGAGATGCCATATAAGGGCCAATTATATTGCATATCCGTCTCTGGATTTTATCAAGGACCTTGAGACAAACAGAATGAGCTCCAGACCATATGTGGCAGCAATACTCCATGCAAGGGCGAATCGTTGATTTGTAGATTTGAAGGATCGACTCCGGCGAAAAGAATTTCCTGGCGCGGCACAGGGAGCCAGCTTTCCTTGCTGTAGACGAAGCTATTGACTCAATGTATTTGTTCCATTCAGGTCAGCAGACAATGTGAGACCGAGCAGTCGCAAAGAGGTGCTCTCATGGAACCAGCGAAAGCAGTTAATCGGAGCAGTTACCATGAAAGTAATTGTAAATAAGATCGAGAGTGAGGTGACGGCACGTCTGTGAGAGAGCGACTGCAAACAAGATGCCAGATAAGGATCAGTTACATTGCATATCCGTCTCTGGATTTTATCAAGAACCTTGAAACAAACAGAAGGAGCTCCAGACCACATATGACAGCAATACTCCATGCAAGGACGAATGGTTGATTTGTAGATTTGAAGGATCGACTCTGGCGAGAAAATTTTCCTGGTGCAGCACAGAGAGCTATTGACTCAATGTATTTGTTCCATTTAAGCTAAGAAACAGTTAGATGATGAGGGTCGGACTCACAAAGTTTAGACACTCTTCAAAGTTAATATTTATTTTATGATCGAAGTATGTTATGCTAATTCTCGTACAATTTGCTTAGGACTTTCCTTGATTATGGTTTGCAGAAGCTTCGTACTGACAAAACCTTAGTCATACTGATCATGTGGACCCTTTGGGAGAAAAACAACCCTATGAAACCTGGACAAATCATCCTCAACATTTTCAGACATTTAAAAATTCCTTTACAGACCGAATATGTTGCGCTGCTTCCGTTGCTAAAGACCACTTTTTGAATTCATACACCCGACAGTGTCTGATATGGATTTGATCTACGCTCATTTACACGCATTAAAAGATAAGAAACATACAAGATTTACCCACTATTAAATAATCTGCAATGCAAAAAAAAAATAATCTAAAAATTAATGGCTATTACGAAAAGTATTGAAAAATTATTTACACTATTTACTTTGCTCGGACTGTTGTCCTCATCTTTGTTGCTATATTCACGACGTTTCGGCCGTTGTACACTCCGGTCTTCTTCAGCCTATTGGAATATCTTAACCGAACCGTATATTTCGTAAAACAGATTTGGTAGATTGTTCTAGTTCCACGTGCCATGCCTCTTCTGGATATATCTTTATCAGTTATTGCTCTTTAACTCAACTCTCCAAATTATTGTCACTGGATTACTTCAACCAACGCCTTTATCCACTGGGGCTTGTGTCCTTGAAGACATCAGAGTATGAATTTTGGGGACTTATAAATATTATGTGTCAATAACCATTTTTACCAGAGCTCATATTACAATTTGTTGTTATTATTGCTTTTTCTCCGTATTTCTGCGTCACAATACATCAAGAAACTGACTCATTCAAGTGACTATTGTAGCAAACCTACAGACAATAATGGGTATGTCCCCATTCACATAAATACAGTAGTAAATACTGTATGTTGGTCTGCCGTTGGAGATTCGTCTCCAGCTGTGCTGGTTAAACTCTCTGCTTCCGGGCAGAGCCGATCCCCAGTCGACCGTTTTATACGGAGTCTACGGGGAATTTTTGGCCGAACCTACGGGCTCGGATACCCACATTAAATTCGGCCTTGTGCCACATCTGGCCGCGTGGGGCGGTTTTTAGATATCCTGCAGATGGAGATTTCTCTTCAGCTGTGCTGCTCAAACTCTCTGCCTCCGGGCAGAATGGATCCCTAGACGAGGCAGAGTCTCGTCTCGGTAAACAGCTTCCCGACCAAGATTTTGCAAGATTTTTTAATAATTACATTGCGAAAAACGAGGGCTAAAAATGGGTGATGATCAAATTTTTACTAAACAAAAAAAATATCCTTTCAGTCCTTTCAGTCAATTTAAATTATGTTAAAAAAATATCAAATTTAATCTGTTAGCTTGAAATTAAAACTAAAATAAAAGCTTAACGAAAGATTTTTCATTAAAAAAATC